GGTTCCATGCAATGTCTTGTTTCCCACCAGCTCGTCATATCTGTAGGGTTTGCTGGAACCCCGGAACTTGAGTGCTTCCTAGAACTCCTGTTGGTCAATGATGGAGCTTCCCTACTGCTCTGGATCTCAGAGCAGCCTTTTTTCTTTTTGCACTTCAACTGCTATCATAACAGAAGTAACCCTATTTCATTTCTGGGACCTGGAGAAGAAAGAGCATGTTCTATATGGATTCTGTATGAATCATGAATTTGAGGAATCAGGTGAAGAGCATGAAATCAGACTACATATCCCATTTAGCATCGTGTTTTATTCTTCTAAAGTTTTTTATTCTTCTGAATTCAACTTCTAAATGTTTATTGTTCCAGGAGATGTATGTATTTTTAAAACGTTTTCATTCCTTTCACCTTCTATTTAAGTTGAAGGCAGTTAATAAGAAAGAATATTTCCTTTCAGCATTTATTGGTACCATTTGCATAACAGGCACAGTTGGGAATTTCAAAAAAGGAATTAAACACAGGCTTTGCTCTTAGGGGCCTTATAAGCAAATATGGCAGATAAATCTGTACAGAAATAATGTGTCAGTCAGGGTCCCAGCAGGAAACAGCATGCTCAGAGGATTTATGAAAGAGAGTTATTGCAGGGACTGTCAAAGAGGTGGAGGCAGGTTAAGGGAGCAGCAAGGCATGGTGGTGGGATGGTGTAGTAGCAACAGTGGGAAGCTTTCACCTCCTCTAGGCTTGCAGGGATAAGAGGAGGAAGAAGTGTTACCTGATTTTGATGAAAGCTGCAGTCATGAGATAAGCCCACACTATAGGGGTAGTGGCTGTAGTCAAGGTATGTGGTTACTTGCCGAGACCATGGCCCAGCATGGAGGGAGCAGGGGAGCTGGGGTGGGGTAGGATGGGGAGAAGCCAGCAAAGGATTTTAACAAGAAGCATTCAGAGGAGCATGTGAAAAACTGGGAGTGTGTGGTGTCTGGCAGTAGAAACAAATGTTTGCGTGGGTTGGGGCAGCCACCTCATGTGCTACCAAGAGGAAGGGTGAGATGGATTTGGTAGTGTAAAGGCAACTGTGGCTTTGGCAAAAACCATTTGGTGAGTGGCATAGAGCCAAAGTCTGATTGGAACAGGTTAACTAGAGAAAGGGCCCATCAGTTGAGGACCCTCAGTGCAATGAAGAGTGGAGGAGAGTGGAGACGGGCTCTGGGGGGGCAAGTGGAGATAATCCAGGAGTATCATGTGAGGATATTTAGTGGCCAGTGCTATCAGAGCAAGGCAGAGCAAGAGCATGGGGGATTCAGAGGAAAGAGCTGTTCTCCCAAAGTAGGAAGTGAAAGACAGAGGGAAGTCTCATGGGGAAGACTGTCTCAGCTGAGTCTTACAGGCTGGCCAACAGTTTCCATTTAATGCCCCCCACACTTCCACGTTTCAATTACCCTGGATACTCATGTGACTCATGGACAGCAGACACATTCTTGACCCCAGGAATGGCCCAGTCATGGTTCAGAGGTAGAGGGAGTCTCAGAGGAAAAGTGGGTCAAAGGATCCCTCTCTTCCTCTGGGGAGGGTCCATGCAGGTGGGAGAGCATTTTGCTTCCAGGAGGGAAGCCAGGCTTACAATAAAGATGACACAGGGTGAGGGCAAAGCTGAAAGTCACAGAGATACAGAGCAGCAGTTGGGATGACTTGGCAAACTCTGGACCAAATTGTGCTTGAATTCCATCCTTTCTCTGTACTTTCTCATTATGGGAAACTAAAAATGTCCTAACTGTTTAAGTCAGTTTTCATTAAATTGTTTTCTGAAATGTAAACATCTTGATTGAGAGCTATTATGATTTGGACGTTAGGTAATTGGCCCAAGGATGAAGATGAGGGGAGGGAGTTTGGAAGCAGAGAAAATATAAGAAAATAAAAAGGTGATTAAACATAGTATAGTATTTTCTAGCATGGAGTCAGACTTCCTGGGTCCATTGCTATGTTCTGTGATTTGAAGAAGCTTCTTAACCTCTCTATGCCTCAGTTTCCTTGTTTGTAAAATGAGAATGATGACAGTATACTTAATGTTATTATGAGGATTAAATGAGCTAATATTTGTAAAGAACTTAGAATAGTGTTTGGCATACAGAAAATGTAAGTGCTTGTCCAATAAACGAAGGGCCTTGTATCTCTACTTTACAACTGAACTTGTACATGAGTCCCACCTGTAAAGAGAGGGGCTGGGTTCCCCTCAGAGTTTGAAGACTTGCCAAGTACTTTACATAGTGACAATGTGGGTGTCAGGTCATTCTTTCCATGTTTCATGTGAGTAAATAGAGGTTTCAGGAAGATCAAAATCGTTTAAGAGATAATCTGATAATAAACATCATGATGGAGTTAAAGCCCAGCAGACCAAGAATTAGGACACTGAGTTCATGCTTCTGCTCTGCTTTAACTCCCTGAAGACCTCAGGTCTGTCCCCTTTCTTCTTCTTAGGGGGATGGGGGTTGACCAGATGACCTTCAGGTACCTTACAGACCTAATAGTTTCATAATAGCACCAGTGTAATTGATTCTACAGGTTAACATTTACAAAGCATTTGGACAGCATCTCCTGCTCATACAAAAGCCTTGTCAGACAGGCAGTATGGATATAATTTTCTCTGTTTTACAACCAAGAAGGGAAGCCAGCTGAGGAAAGCTTTCATATCAGGTAAATTACCCCTGAGGGTAACAGGAGTTGAATCCCACTGGGAAACTCTGGAAGCTGGTGGAAAACGCCTGCCTCAGAATTTTTCCATCCAGAGGGTAGGGAGCTGGGGTATTTATATACCAACCCTGACAATTGTCAGGGGACATTAATTTATTGGCATTTCTAGCCTGTCATACATGTAGCAAAGTGGGCTCAAGAGACAGAGGAATCCCTGGGGCAAAAAAACATGAATTCTGGCAGTTGAGAATAGGCCAGTGCACTGATATGATTTGTGTGAGGAGATACGGGTGGCCACCACCAGCATCTGCTACAGTCTTCTTGGGAAGGTGCTCTTGCCATCTTTACTTGCAAACAGATGTGTAAAATGTGATTTTTAGTTGAGCATGTTGCTATTCTGAACTCAGTTACCTTACATGGCAAAAGGGACGTTGCAAATGGGAAGATGAAACTGGTTCAGGTAGAATGGGGATGGATGCAACCTCAAGGCAGGACTGATATAATCACAAGGGTCCTTACAAGAGGGAGGGAGGAGCCCAGAGGGAGGAAAAAAAAAAGATGCTGCTCTGATGGCTCTGAAGGTAGAGGAAGGAGCCAGGAGCCAAGGAATGTGGGCAGGATCTAGACACTGGAAAAGGAAAGGAAAATGTATTCTTCTCTATAGCCCTGAAGACAGCTTGATTTTTTTTTTTTTTTTTTTTTTTTTGACATGAGTCTGGGTCTGTCACCCAGGCTGGAGTGCAGTGGTGCAATCTTGGCTCACTACAACCTCTGCCTCCCAGGTTCAAGCAATTCTTGTGCCTCAGCCTCCCAAGTAGCTGGGATTACAGGCACCCACCACGCCTGGCTAGTTTTTGTATTTTTAGTAGAGATGGGGTTTCCACCTGAGCCTCCCGAGTAGCTGGAACTACAGGTGCATACCACCATGCCCAGCTACTTTTTGTATTTTTTCTAGAAATGAGTTTTCACTATGTTGCCCAAGCTGGTCTTGAACTCCTGAGTTCAAGTTATCCTCCTGCTTTGGACTCCCAAAATGCTGGGATTACAGTTGTGAGCCACTGTACCCAGCCATGCTGACACCTTGATTTTAAACTTCTGACCTCAATAACTCAAAGAGAATCAATTTGTATTGTTTTAAGTCACTACATTCATGATAATTTGTTACAGCAGCAATTGGAAACTAATACAGAGAAAGTGGATATTGGGTGGGTTAATGCAAGAGTCTATTACAGATATCTAGCAGATATCTTAAACAGCTTGCATAAAACATAAATTGTGATTTTTATCATTCTTCCCTCTCGAATCAAAGCTGTTACCAATCTCAGGAAACAGTCCCAGGTCATCCACCTGCTTGGGCCATAAATTTTGAGGTCATCCTGGATTTCCAGCCTGCTTTTGTTTTGCTGTTGTTTTTTTTTTTTTTTTTGAGACAGAGTCTCACTCTATAGCCCAAGCTGGAGTGCAATGGTGCAATCTCGGCTCACGGCAACCTCTGCCTCCTGGGTTCAAGTGATTCTCCTACCTCAGCCTCCCGAGTAATTGGGACTACAGGCTTGTGCCACCATGCATGGGTAATAATTTCTAGCCTTTCCTCACATTCTCACCTCAAATTTATCAACAAATCCTACCGGCTCTTCCTCAAAATAAACCCCAAATCTTGATAGTGGTGATTGTTTCATAAGTGTATACTTATCTGCAAAATCATTGAGTTATATATATTAAATATGCACTGCTTTTTGCATGTCAATCATATCTCAATAAAGTGGTTTTTTTTTTAAAAGGCCACGCCCACATAGGATGCCCTCTCATGATCCATTCCTGCCTGACATCATTTCCACCTAGGGCATGACTGCAGCAGCCTCCCACCTGGCTCCCTGCTCCACTCATTCTCCCGTTAATCCATTCTCCAGAGTGTCTTTTGCAATCGTCCATCAGATCCTGAGACTTCCCTGCTCCAGTCCCTCCAGTGGTTTCCCATTTCATTCAAACAAATCCAACGTGCTCGCCATAGTTGAAAGCCTGATCTGGCCCTGCCTGCCTTTTGCCCCTGCTTCCAGCACCCTGCTCTGCAACACTGGCTTTCTTTCTGTTTTTATTATTTATTTCATTTTCCCATAAGTTATTGGGATACGGGTGGTGTTTGGTTACATGAGTAAGTTCTTTAGTGGTGATTTGTGAGATCTTGGTGTACCTGTCATCTAAGCAGTATACACTGTGCCATTTAAGTTGTCATTTATTCCTCGCCCCCCTCCCACTCTTCCCCGCAAGTCCCCAAAGTCCATTGTATCATTCTTGCGCCTTTGCATCCTCATAGCTTAGTTCCCACATATCAGTGAGAACACACGATGTTTGGTTTTCCATTCCTGAGTTACTTCACTTAGAGTAATAATCTCCAGTCCATCCAGGTCATTGCAAATGCTGTTAATTCATTCTTTTTTATGGCTGAGTAGTATTCTGTTGCCTATATATACCACAGTTTCTTTATCCACTTGTTGAATGATGGGCATTTGGGTTGGTTCCATGGTTTTGCAATTGTGAATTGTGCTGCTATAAACATGCATGTGCAGGTATCTTTTTCGAATAATGACTTCAGTAGTGGAATTGCTGGATCAAATGGTAATTCTACTTTTAGTTCTTTTTTTTTTTTTTTTTTTTGAGACAGAGTTTCACTCTTGTTGCCCAGACTGGAGTACAACAGTGCGATTTCAGCTCAACACAACCTCCACCTCCTGGGTTCAAGCAATTCTCGTGCCTCAGCCCCCCAAGTAGCTGGGCTAATTTTGTAGTTTTTTAAAACTAGAGATGGGATTTCTCCATGTTAGTCAGGCTAGTCTCGAACTCCTGACCTCAGATGATCCTCCCGTCTCAGCCTCCCAAGGGATTACAGACATGAGCCACTGTGCCCAGCCCCTACTAACAGTTCTTGAAGGAATCTCCACACTGTTTTCCATAGTGGCTGTACTAGATTACATTCCTACCAGCAAACACTGGCTTTCTTGATTCTTCTCAAAGAAGCCTGGGTGGTAGCCGCCCCAGGCCCTTTGCATTTGCTGCTCGTTCCACCAAGAACCCTGTTCTTTCATAGCCACGTGGCCCACTCCCTCACTCCACTCCAGTGTCTGCCCAGCTGTATTCTCCTCGAAGAGGCCTTTCCCAGCTGCTCTGCCTAACATGGACTCTTCTCTCCCACATCACTGTTTCTGAGCTCCTTCTCCTACTTTATCTGTTCTTCATAACACTCCTTTCTCGCTCACGCTCTCTAGAACTGTCTCTTCCCCACTAAAAGATATGCCCTGTGAGGACTAAGATTGTTTTGCTACCTGCTCTAGCCTCAGTGCTAACAACAGTGCTTGGCACAAAGTTCAATAAAGATTTGTTTATTAACAATATTTGTTTATTAATAACGATTATTACTATTGAGACACACACACAGTTATTTATATGGTTACTTCCTTTTGGATGTCACGGACAGTTAAGAGTAAGTTGTGACTTCCCACGTAGCTGTGGTTTACCTAGAACATGGATCTGTGCATTTTTACAGAGCCACCCACACCTCTTAGATCTTTATGCCTGAAAGAGAAATTGGTCTTCAGCTCCCACAAGTCCTGTCAAGCTAGAAAAGAAATTGTGAACCAACTGTAATTTCATTGAAAGTACAAATCCTCCAACACAGCCCCTTTCAATCACAAATGGATCTTTTTGTCCTCTTAAATCATAAGGACCATTGTCCCTGTTGGGTATGTGGGACTCTGTTAGGTGCTGGTTGATTAATTACAGCAAATTCTTACCTGGCAGTCTTACTTATCCAACTATTTCTAGTGCATACCCAAATTCCACGGTTTTTAAAATGATCATGCTCTTTTGTCCGTGGTCCTTATTTTAAAGTGTTTTAAAATATACATTTTTGAAAAAGCTGATAGAATATATCTTCTTTTGCAAGTTCTCTCCCGCTTTGTTTTTGTTTGAGTTTTTTCTTTTCCCTTCCCCTTCTTATGACCAGTCTCATAAAGTCTGTAGCTATCCCTTAGGACACTCCTTAGGCTCTAAAGTTTCTAAGCTGTTCATCTCACCCTTTTGTGACTATTCTACCACTGGTGATAAGCTTGGCTGAAAATGGGAATCACCTGGAAAGGTTTAGCAACACTGATTTCCAGTGCCAGCCTGAGAGACCCTGATTTAGTTGGTCTAGGGTGCTGCCTGGGCATTGAGATTGGAAATCTCCCCAGGTGACTCTAAGGTGTTGCTGGTGTTAAGAGTCATCACATCTAGTCCCTCTCAATGAGTCTTTAGAACTCCTCTTAAGAATCAACTTCACTGTCTGGGCGCGGTGGCTTAAGCCTATAATCTCGTCACTTTGGGAGGCAGAGGCCGGCGGATCGCCTGAGGTCAGAAGATTGAGACCAGCCTGGCCAACATGGTGAAACCCCATGTCCACTAAAAATACAAAAATTAGCTGGGCATGATGGTCCATGCCTGTATTCCCAGCTACTTGGGAGGCTGAGGCAGAAGAATCACTTGAACCTGGGAGGCGGAGGTTGCAGTGAGCCGAAATCATGCCACTGCACTCCAGCCTGGATGGCAGAGTGAAACTCCATCAAAAAAAAAAAAAAAAAAAAAAGAATAAACTCCACAGATTCCTTGAAATTTTCCATACTTCTTAAATTCACAAAGACTTGTCTTTTGCTTGATGACTCAGTTTTCATAACAACACCCACCAAAGGAAATATCTCCTTACTTGATTTTAGATTTTTTGGGAGTTTGCAAAGCCATTTCTGTGTATTTCTTTGATTCCTCCCAACATCGCTGTGAGGTGGACATTCAGGGCTAAGACAAGGCAATGGAACTAGAGCAATGGTCTAGAGTTAGGCTAGGGCTGCCAAATTTAGCAAAACAAACAAACTAACGCAACAAAAAATAACCCTAGCCAGGCATGGTGGTGCACGCCTGTAATCTCAGCTACTCAGGCAAGGCTGAGGCAGAGGAATCACTTGAACCCAGGGGGTGGAGGTGACAGTGAGCCAAAATTGTGCCACAGCACTTCAGCCTGGGAGACAGAGCTAGACTCCATCAAAAAAAAAAAACAAAAACAAAAACAAAAAAACACCCAAACAGGACACCCACTTAAATTGAAATTTTAGATACACAACAAATAAGTTTTTAGTATATTTTGTGCAGTATTTGGGATATATATACGTTAAAAAATGGTTGTTTTGGCTGAAATTCCATTTAACTGGCCATCTGCTATTTCTTATGGCAACTCTACACTCAGAGCCCACTCCTCTTCTGAAGAAGGGCGTCCTATGCCCTTCTCTTTCCTGCCTATGATCTCCAGCAGCTTGACTATGTCCACTTTTGGAAGACATTCTTCCTCTCCTCTGCATGGGTAGCCATTATCTTCAGAAATAACCTCTTCTGTATATGTTAGAATCATGACTTCTCTATATTCGAACTTCTGTATGTTCGAATCATGCATGTCCTTTATTTCCCCCATCTTAATCTCCTTTGTGGTCTCAATTATTGATAAGATCAAGCTGGTTTAAAAACCACAACCCAACATTTACAGTTGGAAGCTTCAGAAAAGATAATTTGCAAAAGCTGATTTTCCTAAGCGTTTGAGAGTTGGTCCTATACCCTAATATATTTAAAAACAAAAACAAAAAGAAATACTCACTTGAGAATTCTTTGTTCCCTTCCCTACTTAACAAATGTGCTCACAAGACCTGGGGACGTAGGTATTATTTTCTAAGTACTCATGTAGGACTAATTTTATTTGAGGACGAAAGAAGAAAGGTTTGGAGAGATTAAGAGACTCCTCAAGGTCATATAGCTTGGAAGTGCCAAAGTTGGGATTTGAACCTGGGGCCATCTGACACCAGGGCCTTTTCTTTTCCTTAATTGGCATGCCAGGAAAACAAAAAGATTGTACTGAGAGCCTTGTGGCTTTGCTATTCAAGTTTTCCAAACTTGATTGGTTTTCTGCAACTCCTAGGGTTTAGAACAATCATTGGATAAACCTTTTCCATTCCATGTGGGTGGCTTGAGAGATTAAAAGTGTTGACAATATAGCAACCCATAAGATGCATACATATTCTTGGAAACCTTATTTTTAACCCTGAAAAAAATAGTGTCACCACAAGGCTCTTGAAGAAAGATTTCAGCAGTCATTGCCAGCAAAGTAAACATTAAATCAACCCAGGGACATGTTCTTTAAACACATTTGCTGAGGCGAAGGGGCAAATAGTTTATGCTGATTCTGGGTAACTGGCCACAAATAAGTGTCAAGGAGGCTTTTTTTCCAAGTGTTCAGCATCTTTTTTGGTATAAGCTTCTCCTGTGCTTTAGCCCTCTGTAAATATTTGTGCAATTAATGTATGCTGGCAAATGTCTCAAGAGGAAAGCAGGGTACATTATGCCAAGCAAAATTGTAATTAGCAACACAAAAGAAAAAGAATTTGTCTCTTTCATCTCCATGCTTAAAAACTGTCAGCACTTAAGGCAGCTGGAAGCTTCAGAAAAGATAATTTGCAAAAGCTGATTTCCCTAAGCGTTTGAGAGTTGGTCTTATACCCTAATATATTAAAAAAAAATCACTTGAAAATTCTTTGTTCCCTTCCCCTACTTAACATTAATCTAGTTAATATTAATTACAAAAGGTGCTGTAGAGAAAAGTTCCTTTAAAAATATCAACCTCAAAATGTTAAGGGGAGCATTTTGCATTGTGGCACCTATGAAGCACGGGGGGAGCGGGAATATACAAGTTGCCCATCTTGCCTAGAAATGATTGCCTAAGTGATGCAATCAAGGGGAGGAGGAAAGAGGTGAGCCTGCTGACACCAGCTGGAGAAGCCAGTGCTCCTGGACCCATTCACTGAAAGCAGTCTGCTGGTTCACGCCTCCCTCACACTTCACCGACTTCCTCAAAAAGTTGCCCTGGGCTTGGTGTTCTGTGGAGTCTCTGGAAGTTTCTGGGCAAGAATGCTCCAGTACTGAACTCATTTACGCCCTGAATCCTTTGCCATTTGATCTGGGGATAGGATGGCTAGCTGGGTCTGCGAATAGCTAGTGAGCTGCTGGTGCCTGGGTGATATCTTTTCCAGCTGTTTAATTTGAGCTTTGCTGCCACTTCTGCAGATCTGCAAGGGAGTCTTTTGGTATCAGAATAAAGTATATTGTCTGAGGACCAGCTGCCCAGAATATCTAGGCAGGTTGGTTAAACATGCAGATTCCCGGTCTCTACCACAGACGTGTTGATTTGCAATGAGGTTGCAGTGGGGCATAGTGATTTCCTTCCTAAACAGATCTTTCTTTTGAGAAGTGTCTGTTCATATCCTTCACCCACTTTTGATGGGGTTGTTTTTTTCCTGTAAATTTGTTTAAGTTCCTTGTAGATTCTAGATATTAGCGCTTTGTCAGATGGGTAGATTGCACACTTTTTTTTCCCTTTCTATTGCATACCATTCTCAGCCCCACCCCAGACCTACTCAACGTGAATCCGCATTTTAACCAGATTAAACAAGATTAACCGTTATCATTTTAGAGAGCCATTCATGCATGAACTTACAAGCTAATGGAGTTTCCATGTCCACATCAGTATTGCGGTGGTGGCTGGGCTTTCCAAATACGTCCTTAGTGTGTTTGTGTTAATGGTTCATGAATCAAAAGGAATTATTTGTCACCTGATCCAAAACAAAGCCCTGAGATCTGTCAAAAAGGTGACCTATGGCCTGAAGGCACGCTGGCAAGGAGAAATAATAATCCTCCCAGTGTCCACTGGGCTCTGGGGATAGGACAGGTGGAAAAGACAAGCTCTGAAGCTTCAATGCTCGGTAGTCCTGCCACCAATAAATACACACAAGAAATGGCTCCTTTAATCCTATAATGTTTACGAAAACATATTAAAGGCTGCAATTCACATTCACAGACACATTGAGAACCTTTAAATAATCCTTGTATGCCACTCAGCGAAGGCTTATTTAAAAAGGAAACGGGCAAAGAATGTAAAAAGTGTACTATGTACTTTAAGGGTATCATGGAGTTTTAAAACAGGGTTTTGCTGGAGGTTAGAAGAGCTTGAAAACCTGTCTTCCATGAAAGCTCCAAAATATTATTTTTCTAATTCTTTGTAGGCATGTCCTATCAGATACGTTCAGGGCAGGGGGAGAACAAAAATACATACATACATGTGGTCCTTGCCCACAAAACAGAGCTTCCTAAACTGTAATGTGCACGTGGGTCACTTGGTAGTCTGGTTAAAATGCAAATTCACATTGAGTAGGTCTGGGGCGGGGCTGAGAGTCTGCATTTCTGACAAGTTCCCAGGGAATGCCAATGGGCCCAGTCTAGGCATTCGCTCAGTGTTGCAAGACACTAAAACATGTACGAGGCAAACTGTGTAAAGGCGCTTTCCAATCCGCATGTCTTTGAAGAACTCTTAAGGATACCTGGGCTGCTGCTACTTCTCCACTGGCCAATTAACACAGAGGAATTGTTGCTGTAAACTGATGACCAACACAGCCTCTTACCTGGCCAGATGTTTCTAGAAAAGGGCCTGAAAGATGAAAAGCTGGCAGAAATGGTCTGCTTCCAAGAAGTCAAAGGGAATCAATCCGTGGTCACCAGAGTAGCTGGTAATAAGAGATTTCAGGTGATGCACTTGCAAGGCT